CTCTTCCTCCTCTTCCTCCTTCTCCTCCTCCACCTCTTCCTGCTCCTCTTTTCTTCCTCCTCCTCCTCCTCCTCCTCTTCTTCCTCTTCCTCCTCTTTTCTTCCTCCTCCTCTTCCTCTTCCTGCTCCTCCTCCTTCTCCTCCTCCTCTTCTTCCTCCTCCGCCTACTCCTCTTCCTCCTCCTCCTCCTCTTCTTCCTCCTCCTCCTCCTCCTCCTCCTCCTCTTCCTCCACCTCCTCCATCTCTTCCTCCTCTTCCTCCTTCTCCTCCTCCACCTCTTCCTCTTCCTCCTCTTTTCTTCCTCCTCCTTCTCCTCCACCTCCTCCTTCTAATACATGAAATTAGCATTATTTGTGCAGTTGGTACAAAGACACGTGATCATCATCTCAGTTGATTCCTGGAATGAATTGGCGAGGGTAAGTAAGCTCTTGCATTTGGGAACAACTTTTGTGCCGTATTTTGCTTTCTTGGGCGATGTAATTATCTGTAAAAAAAAGTAATGGGGGAGAGGGGAGGGAGAGGGGAAGGGGAGGGGAAGGGGAGGGAAAGAAGGGGAGGGGAGGGAGGAAGAGATGGAGAGGAAAGGGAGGGGGAGACTGGCAGACAGACAGACTAACAGACAGACATACAGACAGAGAAAGAAAAAGAGAGAGAGGGAGAGGGAAAGAGAGAAAGGGAGGGGGGGGGGGGATTTATTATCATTTGCCCCTCTTCCTCTTTCTCCAGCTCATCTGTCCTCGTCTTGAAGTAACCTCCTGACCCCTCTTTTCATTTATCTGTCTTTCTTTCTGTCTATCATATTTCTTTTTCCACTGTCGTTCTGTCTCTGTTTACTTTATCTATTTATGTCTTTCTCTCTCTCTCTCTCTCTCACTCTCTCTCTCTCTCTCTCTCTCTCTCTCTCTCTCTCTCTCTCTCTCTCTCTCTCTCTCTCTCTCTCTCTCTCTCTCTCTCTCTTTCTCTCTATTTCTCTCTATTTCTGTCTCCCCCGCCCTCTCTCTCTGGCTGTCTGTCTATCTTGTTCTTAATCACAGAGAGACGGATAAATATATAGATGGATAGATATATATAGAGAGATAAAGAAGACAGACAGACAAACAGAGCCGGATAGACAGTCACAATAAAGAAAAACAAACAAACAAACAACAACGAACCAAAAGTAGCAACGAAGGAGGAAGTGAAACAAGACGATAAATAGAGGAAAAGCAAATTCCAGGAGCAGAATCCGAGGCACGCCATTCAGAATCTTTTCTTTATTTTTTCATTTAAATACAACTCGTACTGTTTTTTCTTTCTTTCTTTCTTTCTCTCTTTCTTTCTTTTCTTTTCTATTCCTTTTGCCTCCAGCACGATACAGGGTTTTTTTTTTTTTTTTTACTTTTTTTTTTTTTTTTTTTTTTTTTTTTTTTTTTTTTTTTTTTTTTTTTTTTTGATATCGCACATAATAATGAATGGATTAGTTATCGGACGAAAAGAAGAAGAAGAAGAAGAAAAAAAAAGTATTGGTCATGTTATTCATTGTTTTTTGTCATTTTGTTTGTTTGTTTATTTGCTTTTTGGGGGAATAAAGGTAAAGGAATCCGTGTAATGAGGGAGAAAAATGTGATCTTTTGATAGAAATTGTCGTATATATGATTGAAATACAATTACTAATATTTGTGAATTGAAATCTTTATTTATCTATTTTTAATTCAGCTAGGTCTTACGAATATTATAGTAAGGCTAATATTAAGTAGATGCACAGGGCTTTCATATATTTCTCCTCCGTATTGCAAAGATATAATAAATAAAGGCGAAATGTTGACTCGGATGTGTTCTAAATGAAATAACGCTTTGTTAATTTCGTTATTGTTAATTCTCTATGATAAATGTTCATCTAAACAACAAGAATTTAAATATTGTGTAGTGAAGCATTCCATTATACAGAGTCGTAATATTGTAAAGAAGACGCACTCTCAGTTTGCATTTGCAACTGTGAGCTACAGCATAAACATCAACCACATAATGAACACAAATAACGAAAACAAATTGAAAAGCAACATCTGTCTCAACATAAACATCAGCAACAACAATAACAGTCTTAAGAATGATAATATCAACCTCAAGAAAATCCTTATGAATAATTCTATCAACAACAACAACAATAAGAATATGGATAGCAACAACAACTACATCTTCATTAACAATAACAGCTACAATAACAACAACAAAATCCATAAGAACAAAACCGTCATCATCAACAATAACAATGATAAGGACATGGATAGCAAGATTAATAGCAACATCAACAACAACAGCAACAACAAAAACAACAAGAGCATGAATAGCAGCAACAAAAACATCAAACAACTTCAAGAGCATGACGAAGAACAACAACAAAAACAAAAACATCAAAACAACAGCAGCATGAATAGCAGCAGAAATAAAAACAAAAACATCAAAACAAGAACATGAATAGCAACAACAACAAAAACAAAAACATCAAAACAACAAAAGCATGAATAGCAAGAAAAACATAAAAACAACAATAGCATCAATAGCAACAAAACAAAAACATTAAAACAACAACATGAATAGCAACAATAACAACAACAACAACATCGCTTCCAACAAAAACACTTTATGTCGGCGCGAATGATGAATTGTAGTGAAGAGGCAGCTAAACATGAATCAGTACACTAATCTGAGCTCTAAATACCGCCGCGATAAGGG